TTTGGGCCTCGAGAGCAATGCTCCTCTCACATGACAAACTAACAATGCATTTCTATGTTAATTATATTTTTCCTTCATTTATGGTACAATATCATCAACTTTCATAGGTTGGGACCAATTCCTTAAATCTCTTGAAATCATGGAGAGTTAGCAATATTATTCAGGAAATATTCAATCACTATATATATATATATATTAAATCTCTTGAAATCATGGAGAGTTAGTAATATTATTCGGGAATAAAATACCTAAATTACAAGCGCGTACCGACGAATCGTCCCAATAACTTTCTCGTCTAACGTGTCCATTCGTGAGTCGCTTACGGTATTGAGGGGCCCACACGAACGCATCGTCACGTGTCAGCCACGAGAGAGAACGTGACGACGATGATTAGGGTTCGTCTTCTCTGATACATGAAAAAATCGACGCGCTCGCCTGGCGTTCAAGTATCGCAGAAGGTTGGAAGGAGAAGAATACTCGATCACTATCTACATCCGTTGCAGGTAAAGGGAGAGTTAGGAAAGGATCAAGAAGGACAGGATGAGGTTCGTGATGGAATTCGCGGAGAATCTGATCCTGCGGATGATGGAGGACCCTCGGAAGCGGGACGAGGCGCAGCGGAAGCACATCTACGAGATGCGGGAGCGGTGCGAGAAAACAAAGGCCAACTGGAACCTTCCCCTCCGCCCCTACGGCTTCTGGACCTTCGATCGCTTCAACGCCCAGCTGAGAAGCGACCCCCAGATCAGCCAGGCATTCGGCCGCCGCGACCCCTACGACGACCTCCTCCTTGACGAGCCCTCCGATGTCCCTCCCTCCCGCTCGTCCTCTAAATGATCTGGTCCATCGATCGGTATGACCCCGACCCTCTTCATCTCTTCTCTTATTCTTTTTGGAACGACGACGGATTCGATTCTGGTTCTTTGTTTGCAAGGGTTTTCTTTATCTATATAATAAAGGAGAGATTTTTAGGACTCAATAACGCTCCTCAGCCCGTCGCTCCCTATGTATATATGGCTCTCTGGTCGAGATCCTATTCTAGGTTTCGTTGCAAGTCCGAACTAGAATCTATAGGCTAAAGATCATATTTTGCTTGCGGATATTGGGTGTGGTAGGAACTGCTTTAGGTAGTAATCTCTATGGTTGATAAACGATTTTAGGTAGTAGAAAATGAAGATCTAACTCCATTTTATGATCTCTCTTCAGACTACATTCTATGAAGTTGATAAACGAGGATTGCTCTGTTCTTTCATATAACTTCCTGATGTGATCCCTGATTTTGTGTTCTTACTGTTATTTAGCGTTTTCTCTGTGTTTGCTGGTGGAACCTAATTATGATACTCAATCCCTGAATTGTGCAATTTAGTCATTAGTTTGTCATCTAACTTTAAATGTATGAATAACCTTTGATCGAAATTGACCTCTCGGAGACCATAATCTAGGGTTTTGGTGACTAGTCCAGAACTGGAATCTTGATGCCAAAGAAACTTAATTGTCTGTGGCCGAGTAATCTCTAAGCCTTGTTAAGGACCTTAGTCTCTTCTTGAGATCTATTTTCAGTGTGTTATACTAAGATGATAAATGGGGTTCTATCTGTGACTCTGTGTGTGTGTGTGTGTGTGTGTATTGATGTACATATTATGAAATTTCAATGTCATATCATTTTTTGTGCTCTTAATGTTATGTCTAACCTGGAAATCATCTTACTGGTCTAACCGAGTTAGACCTTATATAACAATCTAATACTTCTTTCTATCAGCTTTCTGTCATTGGGGTCTCCATTATTGTTTGAAGTTGGATTTAATGATTTATAAGTTCCTTTCAACTAGTTTCATGGATCCTGTAGCTTTTCTTTGCTGTCGTTCCCTGTACATTCTTTTTGGAACGGTTTAGAGTGTTCTCTTTCTGATCATCAGATATCGTTTGAACGAGAAATTGTGATGGAATATCTGACTAGGAACAACTTGAAATGTGCACAAACTGTAATATCGAATTTTCTTAGTAAACAAGGATCAATGAAGCGATAGAAATGCTTATAGTCACCACTTACCAGAATCCAGAACAAGGTTAGCAAGCGATTGTTATGCAGGAAACCTTAAGTGGGTAATGAGACAATTTAAGAATTAGAAGCTAATCAGAATCATATGGAAAACATCAACTGGGGATCTGAAAGGTGGCAAACCCCAAAGATGGAAGGCCATAAAGTCCCTTTTGTTTCACTAGACTTTTCTTTTTTCTTTCTCTGGTTCATGTAGCTTGATAAACTTGTCAATTATAGGATCACCCATCGGTGGATATTGGAAGTAGGCAGAGAAATGGGCTGCTTACGTCTGGGTCATAGTTTAGATACTAGAAAACTGGTATATCAAAGATCAAATTGAGAGACAAAAGTGAAAATGCGGATCAACTCTAGGGTGGATCCATGATAGCAGGGGATTTCTTAAGAATTGAATGGATCTTCTGATTAATCTACAGATCACTTTGATCTCATTAGAAATTAGGTTTTTGCATCCAAAATGGGGTTGAAGTGAATCAGATAGATTCTTTTATCAGATGCCTGTTGCTCTGCCTTTGCAATTTTATTTTGAGATGTTGGTATCATGTAGTTCTTCCCCTTTTTGTGCATGGTAGCAAAGGAAACAATCCATAGCATTCAAATTTCAGCTTTTGCATTTGTTTAAAGAGCCTTATAATTGTAAAGTCTGGGGCATTAATGTGAACTTTAATGTGGTTGCTAATTTTGCCTTGACTTTTACCTTTAGCAGATTGTTGAATGGGGTCTCTAGCCTGCTCCTATGGGTGCTACTCCAGTTAATTTTTAAGAAATTTCAAGTTGATTTGGGAAAATGGTTTCTGTGTGAATGTGTTCTGCATAGCACTTTAAGGTCCAGTCCTTGACTTATTTACTTCTGAAGGAAAACCCATGTAGTTCAAATTTTAATTGTAAGTGTCGACAATTGAAATTAGTTTAACTCCCAACCCCTGATCTGAAGTGGGAGTTACCGTATAACCCTTCCCAAGTAGATTTAAACTCTTAGCAGTTATACATCATATAGTTTTAATAGCATATATATAAAATGTTACTAGTCTAGAAAGGTTATCGATGTCTTATTATAGAGGTGAAAATTTTAAAATATACAATATTTTTTTTCAGATTACAAGCTGGGCAGCTTAAAGAGACTGAAATCGTTCAGGTCACAGTTTGTGTCTGCATCAAATAGTATTTTGCTCTGTGATTCTTCTTTCTTATATCGATAGCTTACCTATAGAAATAATTTGCAAAATGCTGAAAGTCTGTGCATGTGGATTTGCTATGATTTTATGGATGTCACTCTTTGATTTTATTGGCTGTTTCCTGTATCTTTCTCTACTTTTTATTAGTTTGATACCTTGTATAAATAGGGCTCGAGCCAAGTATATTAGGTTCTCAAGTGTAGATTAAAAGATACTTGTTGACTTATTGTTTGTTACAGATTTATGACTAGTTAACTCAAAGTTACAACCACTAAGTTATGCGCAGCAAATGTTGTCACTGGAACTTGAGTGATTGTGAAGTCACATCATCGTTCATTTCATATTTTTTGCTGTGTCCACTCAATTGCACAATTAATGAGTCTGAAACAGTGTGATTATTTTTTATCTGGCATATCTGAATCTTAAATCTTCAATCATATTCAATATCTTCAAGTTTTTGACATTTTATTGTTCTGATGACTAATCAGGTACTTTTCTTAGCCTTTTGTGACAACTTCGCTCAAAGACAATAACATAAATGTTTGTTCAGTTTGGATGAAGCCGTGAACAATCCTGTGCGTCTATGCAAGAAGACATAAGCATGATCATATGAGCTGGCTGTAATGAACCATGTTTTGTACTTGTCAAAATGTTCTGCATTTGGCTACAGTCTCTTAATAAGTACACTCATTTGGCTGTGTCAAAACAAGTGTTTTGCTTTTACCTTTAATATATCGCAGCAATGTTGAGGAAAGATTCCTTTGTTCAGGTTGGTACTCAGGTGGGCTAAATCTCTCTTGGATGCTTTAGGTAAGTACTGCTGCAAAGTCTGGAACTTGTATAGTTACCATAGTAGAAACTAAGGGATAGGCAAAAGAAATCAAATATAAAATGATCGTTTATTTTCATCAATGCATTATGATATTGAAATGATTAGTGGATGCATTATTCATTTTGCTATATGGCATGTCGTAAAGATTAGCTAGCAAGTCGATTTGGTTTTATTTTTTTTTCTTTCTCATGCATTACTTTTCTCATTTTCTTTCCATTTATCTTGGTACATATCAATGCTTGTTTGGTTTGTACTGGTTGATATTTACCTATCTGAGATCAAATCGAGATGGTCTGGTCCAACATAATCTTAAAAACCTTAAAAACTGGGTAAACTAAGTGTGGTTCTTATGACCCCTTTTCTATTTTGGTTTATTTAATAAATCAAATTATGATGTACTTTTCGAAGATATTTACATCTATCCAACCCACTTGAATCGGATTAGGATTAGGGTTCCTAGACACAGTGAAGAAGGCTTCAGACATGACTTCCTGGTTCACATGGTGTGCATCCTAGACACAGTGGTAGATACAGTGAAGAAGGCTTTGGACATTAGTTCCAGGTTCATGTGCTGTAGGGCCTTGCATTCTGCATGTTGCAAAGCATTGCAGAGCTTTGAATCATTTGAAGGTTGCTGCATTGACTAGAAAGTTAGGTGGGAATGGCCCAGAGGACACAAGACTGCCTTCTTTTTTACTGTAAAGATGTAGGGTTCTGCATCTCCTACTCTTGTCCCTTGTTTTGCACCACTACCACAATCTAAAGCTCACCAAATATGACTTGCAACAGATGATATCATCTTAGACTTGGAGGTGTGCATGATGTTCTCTACCTATCCACCTCTTTCGGTTTCAGGTATAGACAACCTTTTGTTCCATATGGGTTACATAGGCGCGCGACGATGACTTCATCAAGCTTCTATCACAAATTTTGCTTAAACTACAAAACTTTCAAGCTAGGATTTAATGGGGAAAGTGTCCTCACTCACAAGCAGTGTCTATGTACAAAAAGCATGCTTCCATGAAATCATGAGATAGATGCACTTAAATATACATGTTAGATTCATAGAGATCACTCAAGCAGGGTGACATTATCTCTTCCTCGAGCATCTGCAAGACCCTACTCATGGTAGGGCGGTCCTCAGGATCGGCGTCTGTGCACATTGTAGCTATGTCAAGGATTGCTTCTACTGCTTCGGCATCTACATTACTGCAGTGTTCATCAACAATTTCCTCCAGACGATGGCCTTCTCCCAGTGTATTCAGCTGCGAATGTACATATAAAGTGAGCCACTATCAAGATTTCCATGGAAGATGTGATGATGATTGGTGAAAGAATAAGGAAATAGGAGTGTTTTGATCACCCAGCCAACAATGTTCAATCCTCTTCTAACGAAGGATGGATCTGTAGGCCTTTTCCCTGTCACCAACTCCAACAGGAGCACACCGAAGGAGTATACATCTGACTTCTCTGTTGCACGTCCATTTTGCAGGTACTCTGGAACACAGGAGTAGTACTATTTGTCAAACAAACCAATGGGTGACTTCAGCTGGCTTGGTATAAACTTTGACATCAAATCCAGTCATCATTTACTCTTTGCACAAAAAAGAAGAAGAAAAGAATACTGCATTCGTTAACCTAACTTCAATCCAAAACTAAGATCTAAACCAGCACAGCTTCATGATTAGCTCTTCCAAGTTTCCAAAGTAATCGATAATCGTACACTGAGTAATTTATGTAACAGTATGTATTATCTGAGAATACTAAGGTCAGCTTGTTTTTAGGATAGAAATTTTATGAACCTTTCACAAGACACTAATGCAAATGAATGAAATCATGCAAGGAAGTAGCATACCAGGTGCGAGATAGCCGAAAGTACCAGCAACTACTGTAGTGATACGTGCATCACCGTCTACGAGCAGCTTGGCAAGACCGAAATCAGATACATGAGGCTCCAGGCTTCTATCAAGTAAAATGTTACTGGATTTGATATCCATGTGAACGATCCTGGGAGTGCAGTCATGGTGCAAGTATGCCAATCCTCTTGCGGAGCCAAGAGCAATCTTCATACGTGCGTTCCAATTCAAGGGTTGTTCTTCATCACTATTTTCTGAATTTAGAAATTTAGAGTCGATACACAAATTTTAGACATTTTCTTGACCTTTTTTGTTGGATCTATTGATACATTCCAATGTCATGTCCCAGGCAACTATGCAATTCCCAGAGTAACATTCATAATAGAGAAACAGCAGCCAAGAAATATTTTGAAAGGATGTTCTGATTGATTTATCCAATTCAAAACCTCTACGATATATGATCTTTTAACATGAAAATGGAAAAGAAATATCTTGCCAGAGTTGCTTACCATGAAGATACTGGTCTAGACTCCCCAAGGCCAAGTGATCACAAATGAGAAGCCTTGCAGATGGGAGCCTGCAATAGCCTCGAAGATCGACAAGGTTAATGTGTTTGATGCTGCCCAATGTCTCGAGCTCCCTCTCAAAAATTTGATTGGATCCTTCACGGTTGCGAGCGATCTTTTTCACAGCAAAAACACTATTATCATCCATTACCATCTTGTAGACTGTACCAAATCCTCCAGAGCCAATTACATCGTCTTCATTGAGTAGCTCCAGCTTATTTATGATTTCCTGGGATGAATATGGGAGGTTTCCGTGGAAAGTGATGAGCTTGGTGCCTAAATGGATTGAAATTAATACAATTAAGTTTTAACATTTTGAGGGATAATAGGAGAGATGCAGTGACACAATATATAGCTTACCGGCATCTTGAACAAGATCTTCATCAACTTTTACATAGTTCCCAGTAAATCTTCCCTTTCTTGATAACAAGCAGATCCAAAGGAATCCAAGGATTGCAACTAAGGCAAGGGCCATGGTAGTCACAGCACCAATTATAATCCCATTCAGAAAACGTGATGATCTTTTCTGTGTGATCGATGAGATTCCTGACAAGTTACCATGGGAGGTTGAAGACAAATTCAGGATGCCAAATGAAAAATGGTCAGTCAATCCTCCTATTATTCTGAAAAATAAAAGGAATGGAGTGGAAAATGTTTCATTTCTGAAACATGCCTGAAGAAGCAAAAGTATCGGCATGTGGTAGCACTGCAGGAAAGCCCAATGTACCACGACAAATTTTTTGAATTGGCAAGCCACACAGTTCTAGATTCCCGACAAACCTGCATTAACTTTGCAACCCCGTTCAAAATTTGTATTACAGGTATGCTACATGAACATAAACACTCAGAGATAAGTGACAGGAAACTTCTTGCCGAAAGAAAACTTGCACTTCAGCTAATTTAAATCATATGACGATGTGCTTCTGAAAGGATGCCAGGTCAGAGGAGGAAAGAAAGAGCTGAAGTATGTATGACTCACGAAGTGTTTCTGAAAGTTCCAAGGACTCCAACAGTTGGAATTTCACCAGAGAAGAAGTTGGTTGATAGATTTCTGCATTTGAAAGGATCAGAGTCAAACAGCTTACATTCACAAAAAGAAGATGGTGAGCCAACAATAGTTGCATCAAAACACTCACAGAAAGCGCAGTTCAGACAGATGACCGATAGACGGAGGAATCGCACCCCTCAACAGATTACTCGACAAATCCCTACATTTTTCCACATCGTCCACAAAAAACTGAGAAAAAGCACAATCACAGAGCAGAAGAGCAGCAAGAGATTATAGAAAGTACAGGATGGTGAGGTGCACAAGTTCTCCGATCTCAGGTGGAATGCTTCCTTGAAGGTAATTAGCTCTCAGATACCTTGAGAAAGGAAGGAAATGCGGCAGTTTGATGCAGCCAACAGCAAATAATCAAGTGGACATCATTGAAGAACACAATGTAGCATATTCTCGCAACCAATAAACAATAATCAAATGGACACCATCAATAACTAAACACAGTAAAAGGACAAAACACACATACACAGAGATGGAGAGACAATAAAAAAGCAACATACAGTGCTCTGAGCTCAGTGCAGCTCTTGATCTCAGGTGGAATGGGCCCGTGCAAGCTGTTCTGATGCAACGCCCTGCCAAAGTAATCCTTGTAATAATTGTTTCACCAAGTAATGTGTTTCAATGTTAGGGAAGAAGAACACTGTTTAATATATCTTATTTGGAATGGCGACTGAAACAGGTTCCGAAAACTAAAAAAGCAGCCTTTTTTCCTATTCCAGTGTTATATCTGCTTACAATCAAGGTTATCATACGCATTCAAAGATGTCTTGAGGAGGACAAAAAAAGGGGAAGAAAGCAATGGGTTTTACAGCCTCTGAAGCCTTCGGAGCCGACCGATGCTGGGGGAGATGATGCCGCCGAGCTGCATGTAGGGCAAGTTACTGCCACAGAACAGGGAGGGATCAGAAGGAGCACGCTGGTGGAGAAGACGCAGCGGAGAGAGAGAGAGAGCAAACATGGAGCGGACGGTGAGGTCGGAGAGGTGGCAGGTGACGCCGAGCCAGGAGGAGCAGGGGTCAGGATCGGTGGGCCGCCAGCTCCGCAGCAGCTGCTTGGAGTCGCTGAAGCCCAGCTTGAGTTCCAGCAGAGCTTCCCCTGCCAACCCACACTCATTCACTCACTCCATTTCTCCACGAGGAGGAAGAAGAAGAAGAAGAAGAAGAAGAAGAAGTGTTACCATCAGGAGTCAAGGCGCGAGCGAAGTGGAGTAGGAAGGTGAGAGCACAAACGAGTGAAGCTGAGACTGACAGGGCGCGACAACAGATCCACCATGGGCTTACCATGATGGTGCATTGCCTCTCCATTTGCTGCTTTCCTGGCTTTGGCCGATTTGTTGGAGTGAAGCAGGAGATGGAGTTGCAAAGAGAGAAAGAGAGAGAGAGAGAGAGACAGAGAGATTGTGGATGGGGAGGGTGCGGTGAAGGGTAGAGTATTAATTGGGCGTGCGAGCTTCTCTTAATGATGAGAAATAATAAGCCTGAGAGAGAGAGAGAGAGAGAGAGAGAGAGAGAGGGGGCAGGCAAGGAGGGTCCACAGGGAGCAGGGCGTCGAGAATCGTGCGGGGCGGAGGATTTCGATTCAAATTATATATATATATATATATATATATATATATATATATATATATATATATATATATATTATAATACAAAATTACATATATAAATCCCTCTGAAATAATTAATTTATTAGATTTATCTCTCTAAATCTAAATTTGTCGCTAATATTCCTGCAAATCTTAAGAACCTGTAGTTATTTTTATTAGTTGACCGGTAGCCCGAAGCTGTCAATACTCGAATTTATAATAATATTCCTTAAAAATTTTTTAAAAATGGTACATAAAATAATTGATGAAAGTAATAAGGTGTACTTTTTTAAATTTATTAATACGATGATTAATAATATTTAAGCTGAATTTATCGCACGGATGTCTGATAATAAATGAGAAGAAAGTAATTACTGTACGGTGAAATTTCAAAATCATTTCTTGATATTTACTCGTATATTTATAGAGAGAGAGAGAGAGGGGGCGGATATTAATGTCGGGAGTGATGAATCAGCCCTGGAATGATCCCCGGTGTCACGCAAATGCGTGCGGGACCCGCATGGCTGGAACTGGTGAGATCACCCATGAACTGTTCCAGGGCTGACTCGTCCATACCGTCGTCTACAATTAGGAAGGACGACATCCATCGGCCGGATGCACGGTATCCGGGGGCTTTGGATGCTTCTGCCCGCACGTGCGAAGCGTGAGAGGCGGATACCCGGCGAATCGGGCGTCTCCGGTAATCGCTGCTTCGCTAACGGGAAGCATCGTTTGAGACCCAAGGCTGTGGTGAACAAGGTGACCATGGAACTCTCTTCTACTTGAGCATGGTCTTGCCGACTCCTCATTGAGGGCCTTGTTTCTTGCTTGCTAGGGCGGTGGGCGGCACCGGTTTCCATTTCCGATGTGGAATCTCTCGTTCCTTCTCTGTTTAGTCACAGAGAGTATCGCGTCGCTTATATATTTCTTCTTAAACTCGACTCAGAGTACTGTTCATCTGGATAAAGGTATCACCTTGCAATAATTTGCATCGTCTTCTCAGCCTACATGACTATAATGCTTGTTATGCGCTGCCTTGCTTGTTATGCGCTGCCTTTCAAGTTTATGTGAAAATTATTAGAATTTGAAGAGTCATACATGTATAATTAAATATGTTAAATCATTATTTTGATTAGTCAAAATTAAAATAATCTAATTAAAATAAAGTTATTTGACTAAGGAACATAATTATTATGAAAATTAATTGTGTGGATATCACAAGTCATATTCCTAACTTAATGACGAGATAAGTTAGGAATATGAAACTCTTGAGACATAATTGTAGATTCATCAATTATGAATACAATCATAATTGTAGATTCATCAATTATGACTATAAATAAGGTTATGGTCCCCGATTGTAGTATCGAATGAAGTTTCTCTTCACCCGTCAAAGAGAAATCTAAAGTTCAAAAGATACTCTGCAATTGGAAGACCAAATCACTAATCAATTCAGAAAATACTCTAATGGATTCATCACTTCCATGTTAATATATTTATTAATTATTATAGGATTTCATACATATTATAGTAGATTAAATAAGTTTTATGTAAATATTCTTAATCCATTATTTTGGATCTATAAAGTATGTTTTTGAATCAAGATGAAGGTTTTGATTCTATAAAATAATTGTTTGATCCATATTTGATATGTTAAAAGAACCCCAACAAGTGGTATCAGAGCCATCCTACAATGATTGATGAACATTTAAGCTTTTTTCTCATGAATTTTAATGATGTTTTCATCAATATTTTAAAGTAATTTGGTTCTATCATCGTTGGGAAAGATGATAGTTTTATGTAATCATGCTATTTTGAAGTGATTTGGTTCTATTATCGTTGGAAAAAATTATGGTTTTATGTAATCATGCTATAGTATGTTTCACATTCAATTCAGTGCCTTTTTCTGATATGATATCAGTTTAATTTTGGATTATCTTTTCCACTTCGTGTCTTTTCCTATTCATCAATATGTAAAAATTCATTTTTTGCACTACAAGGCATAAATTTCCCAAATTCTTTTTGGATTTTATCTAATTAATATAAATTTAATTAATTAGATATTATTACAATATTATGTTGGTTTAATAATATTGTTGTAATATTATATTGGATTAAACATAATATTGGTTCTATAAAGTTGTTTGTTGACATAAATTGAATGATTTACATGCTTTAAATATTTTAGTCAACAAATTAAGATCAAACCAATTTGACTAATATGGTCTAAATTCAATTAGTGATTGTTTAATATTAGATTAAGTAATTTAATATATGAAGTCGCCAAAGTGATCTCTCATGTATAACATTTCTCATGAAAATATTAAATGTAGTGTGTATTTACATCCATGCGGTAATTATCCGACCTAAAGGAAGGTTAATGACTGGCAGGATTTTATACATACTTGTAATGGTAATACGTGATAATTATAAAGTTATACATGTAAATGATAAATCAATCCAAAGATGGGTTTTTCATTTGACATGCCTTATTATCAGTATTTGATCATTACAACAAGACTACCACTAGCAATTAATATTGAAGTCCAAAGACAAGATATTAATGTTGCACTTGGTATCTTGAGATGGGTTATATCATTATTTGAATTTACTTAAGTTTATGGTAATAAATATGAGCATAATTTTTGGTCATATGTTGTTATCTTATTTAGGTTCTCTTATAAAAATATCTGCTAACCTCAATCCAATACTGGTTTTAAACGAAACCAACTTTAAGGGCAAGAAAAGAAAACACAAATGTGGAAAGAATGAGGCTGATAAGGGTCCAGTACAGAAGAAACAAAATAAGGATGATACTTGTTTCTTCTGCAAGAAATCTGGGCATTTAAAGAAGGACTGTGCTAAATATCATGCTTGGCATGCTAAAAAGGGAACACTCCTTACTTTGGTTTATTCAGAAGTCAATTTAACTTCAGTACCTAGAAACACTTGGTGGTTAGACTCCGGTGCAACAACTAACATCAGTGTATCAATGCAAGGTTGCCTAAGCTACCGAAGGCCCAATAATACTGAGAGAAGCATTTATGTGGGGGACGGAAAATCGGTAGATGTGAAAGCTATAGGCATATTTAGATTGTTATTATGTACCGAATATTATTTGGATTTAAAAGACACTTTTATTGTACAGTCATTTAACGGAACTTAATTTCTGTTTCTTATTTGGACAAATCTGGTTATTCTTGTTCATTTGGAAACAATTAGTTTACTTTGTCTTTAAATTCAAATATGATTGGAACTGGTTCACTTATGACTTATGACAATCTATATTTACTTGATACTATAGCATTCTATCATGAAACCTTGAATGCAGAATTGCGAGGTACTAAATGTAAAATTGAAAATTCTGGTATATTATAGCATAAACGTTTGGGTCATATCTCTAGAAATAGAGTTGAAAGACTTGTGTCAGATGGGATTCTTAATCCCATTGACTTATCAGGTCTAGATGTTTGTGTTGAATGCATTAAAGGTAAACAAACCAAACTTAAGAGATCAGGTGCATATAGAGCTACGGACGTCTTAGAATTGATACATACAGATATTTGTGGACCATTTCCTACACCTTCATGGAATGGTCAACAATACTTCATATCATTCATAGACGATTACTCTAGATATGGATACCTGTATCTGATACATGAAAAATCTTAGTCTTTGGATGTGTTCAAAGCATTTAAAGCTGAAGTTGAAAATCAACTCAGCAAAAGGATAAAAAGCGTCAGATCTGACCGTGGAGGGGAATATTACGACAGAAATGACGGCTCAGGTGAACAATGTCCAGGACCATTTGCTTTATACCTAGAAGAGTGTGGAATTGTCCCTCAATATACATTGCCTGGGTCACCTAGCATGAATGATGTAGTTGAAAGACGAAACTGCACACTTAAGGACATGGTAAGAAGTATGATTTCTCAATCTACTTTGCCAGAGTCACTCTGGGGAGAAGCAATAAAAACTGCAGCTTATATTCTTAATAGAGTACCAACTAAAGCAACTGCAAAAACTCCTTATGAACTTTGGACTAGGAGAAAGCCTAGTTTAAGACACTTTCGTGTATGGGGTTGTCCAGTTGAGACAAGGCCTTACAGGCCTAATGAAAATAAATTGGAACCCCGAACAATGAACAATTACTTTATTTGTTATTCTGAGCGATCTAAGGGGTATAAATTTTATGATCCCAAATCAAGAAATATTTTTGAGACGGGTATTGCTACATTCTTTGAGGATATTGAGTTTGGGAGGAGAAATAAGATTAAAGACTTTACCTTTGAGGAAGAATTGGTTCAGTCTGATCCGATTCATATAGTTGCTACTAATATGGCAAAATCTATACCTCAAAAGGATATAGTCATTTCAACTCCTATGCAGTATGAAGAAATTATTCATAAGGAACAAACTCAACATCCTCAAGAATCTGTGCCGCAAGAGCCAATATCTTTGCAACGATCCACTAGGGAAAGAAGGAGTACCATTTCGGATGATTATATGATATTTCTCTAGGAATATGAAGAAAGTAGTGGTATAATGGAAGATGATACAATCAACTTCCGTCAAGCCATGGAGGATTCTAATTCGGATAAGTGGATTGAAGCAATGAATCAAGAGTATAAGTCTATGCAAGACAATAAAGTTTGGGAACTTGTCCCATTACCAGAAGGTGTGAAACCCATTGGTTGTAAATGGATTTTTAAAACCAAAAGGGATTCTAAAGGTAATGTGGAGAGGTATAAAACACGTCTTGTGGCAAAGGGCTATACTCAAAAGGAAGGGATTGACTTTAAAGAGACATTCTCTCCGGTTTCAACAAAGAACTCTTTTAGGACAATTATGGCTCTAGCTGCACATTTTGATTTAGAGCTTCATCAGATGGATGTTAAAACAGCATTTCTCAATGGAAACATTGATGAAATAATTTATATGGTGCAACCAGAATACTTTGTGTCAGGAGACCTAAAGAAAATGGTTTGTAAATTGATAAAATCCATCTATGGACTAAAACAGGCATCCCGTCGGTGGTATCACAAATTTCATCAAGTAATTATCTCATTTGGTTTTGAGATGAACGCTGTTGATGATTGCGTGTATCACAAATTCAGTGGGAGTAAATTCATTTTCCTGATATTGTATGTGGATGATATTATGCTTGCCACAAATGATATAGGCTTATTGCACGAAACCAAGAGATTTCTATCTAGAAATTTTGAGATGAAAGATCTTGGTGACGCCTCTTTTGTATTAGGAATCCAAATACACCGAGATAGATCTCGAGGTATTCTAGGATTATCACAAAGGAGCTATATCGATAAAGTACTCAAAAGGTTTAGCATGCATGATTGTAAATCAGGAGACACCCCTGTCACAAAGGGAGACAAGTTCAGTCTCAATCAGTGCCCTAAAGGAAATATGGAAACTCAAGAAATGCAGAAGATTCCCTATGCATCAGCTGTAGGGAGTCTAATGTATGCACAAGTTTGTACGTGTCCGGATATAGCGTATATTGTTGGAGTGTTAGGCAGATATTTAAGCAATCCTGGAATGGATCATTGGAAGGCAACTAAAAGAGTCATGAGATATTTAAAGAGGACAAAAGATCATATGCTCACATATAGGAGATCAGACCATTTGAAGATCATTGGGTATTCTGACTCCGATTTTGCTGGATGCCAAAACAGTAGGAAATCCACTTCGGGCTACATTTATATGTTGGCTGGTGGGGCGATTTCTTGGCGTAGTGCCAAGCAATCTCTTATTGCTTCTTCCACTATGGCAGCAGAATTTGTAGCATGTTTTGAGACGTCTAATCATGGAATTTGGCTGAGGAATTTTGTCACAGGGCTACAAATAGTACAAGGGATTGAAAGACCACTAAAGATATACTGTGATAACAAATCAGCTGTTTTATACTCCAACAACAATAGAAGCTCGACTAAGTCAAAACACATTGACATCAAGTTCCTAGTTGTGAAAGAAATGGTACAAAGTAAACAAATTTCTATAGAACACTTGGGAACAAACTTTATGTTGGCAGATCCTCTCACAAAAGGTTTACCGCCCATGAGCATACTGCTCATATGGGTATATCAGAATTTGAGGAAACTTCAGTTTAGTGGGAGCCTGTCATATGTTTGTTGTATGTTCTATGCCAAATTATGTATTTGTACAGACATTTTCTGATCAGAAATAAAGCTTCTGTTTATTATACTTTGTACATTATGACTATTAAAGTTATTAATGATCTCATAAAGATAAAGTTGGACCAGTTGAAAATTGACATGTACAGATCACATTTATGTAATTTTCATGCTACACATTTCATAATTGATCTATGTCATTTGGTTATGTTAATATTAGTGATCATTGATGGGTTTAGCTATGATTGATATAGCGAAAATCGCTTTGGTCCTATATTAATATGGTCAATGGACGAGATTGTTTTGTATGTCCTGTTTAATAATGACAATAGTTTTGAGCTCATAAAGAATATCACATTTATAAGGATACATATGTGACTCAGTGGTAGATTGTTAGAATTTTAAGAGTCACACATGTATAATTAAATGTGTTAAGCCATTATTTTGATTAGCTAAAATTAAAATAATCTAATTAAAGTAATGTTATTTGGCTAAGGGACATAATTGTTATGAAAATTAATTGTGTGGATACCACTCATATTCCTAACTTAATGACGAGATAAGTTAGGAATATGAAACTTTTGAGACATAATTGTATATTCATCAATTATGAATACAATCATAATTGTAGATTCATCGGTTATGATTATAAATAAGGTTATGGTCCCTGGTTGTAGTATCAAATGAAGTTTCTCTTCACCCGTCAAAGAGAAATCTAAAGTTCAAAAGATACTCTGCAATTGGAAGACCAAATCACTAATCAATTCAGAAAATACTCTAATGGATTCATCAGGTGTCAAAGAGAAATCTAAAGTTCAAAAGATACTCTGCAATTGGAAGACCAAATCACTAATCAATTCAGAAAATACTCTAATGGATTCATCAGGTACGCTTCCGTGTTAATATGTTTATTAATTATTGTAGGATTTCATACATATTATAGTGGAGTAAATAAGTTTTATGTAAATATTCTTAATCCATTATTTTGGATCTATAAAGTATGTTTTTGAAACAAGATGAAGGTTTTGATTCTATAAAACAATTGTTTGATCCATATTTGATATGTTAAAAGAACCCCAACAAAAATGCCTAAATAGATCATTGTTCTTAATAAATCTCACTTGGTTCAATTTATATTGAGACCTCAAGATGATTTCGGAATATGATGATTGTTTATGGTGCATCACACTCGAGCATTTAAGTGTAACCAGCGACTACATCTGGTTTGGCATTTCCCAGAATGTGCTTTAAGAACGTCCTCGTTGGGATCCTTATCGATAAGATCTTTTGTTGTTCCTCCTGTGTTTGCACCATTCTCAATCGTGTGCGAACCTTCACGAGGGAGGAAGGGAAATTTTCTGCTGTTGCAACAGAGGATAGAGAAAATCTTCACTTCAGATAGCTAGGAAACTAAGGAACACCTTTTACTGCTAGTTGAAATTATCATCGAAAGGTTTCAACGTGCTTAGGCACAAAGAACTAGAAAGCTTTAGCATTATAATCTTAGTGTCATGGATTCTGGCACAATGTCTGCGCTTTGGTCTTTACAATGTCGAAGCCTTCAGTAGGCTTCTGATTATAACCCTCTTATTTGCAGCTCTGCTCCTGGAGATACTTCATGGGGTCATGCCTCTCTTCTTTCTTTCACTCTGGAGTGACCACAAACCAGGAAATATAGCAGATTGCTCAAGCCCAACATGGCTCTCAGGTAGTACTAGTATTCTACCCTGCCAATGTTAATGTTATCATCCAGATTGCCAGTGCTCCTTCGTATGACAATGATGAGGAAAGCGCACAAATTTATTCCCACCGCTGCTCGCTGCATAATCTCCAGGAATCTACAGGTGAGCCGCCTTCCTTAATCTCCCTTTCACGTTATAGAAAGCTTTGTTCAAGAACCTAGTGATAAGTACGAATTAATACTCGGTTTCATCCGATGACAAGATCAGCTATAGAAGGGATCTCAAAGCTGACAGATTTTTACTTGAAGTGTGAAGGGAAGCTATATCACTAATGTATTCTTCCTGGATATTTTGTTGTAATGCAACCAGTCTTTTCCACCTTGTCTTGTGGCGCCGCAGTGAGAATGTTCTCTTCCTGAACACAGCCACAAGGTCCTGCACAACACCTGAGAACACGCTGTTCTTGGGCAGCACAAAGATGATGGGAGGAGCATCCGGCCACCGGGATGCCAAACTGACAAGCCCAGCTGAAGCTTTCTTGTATTTAGACCATAATCGTGAAGGCCGTGACCATGCTGCAGTGGTGTAGTTGTACCAGCTAAAGAAGCTGCTGTGGCCACACTGCTCCTGCTTTATGGTGCAGTCAAATCGGTCGATGCCGAAGACTTCGCAGGGGTGAACACTGGTGGAGCCGAGACAAAGGAGGCGAGGCAGAGGAATAGCGCCCACCCACTGAGAATAGAATGGAAGAGGCCCGAACACCAAGTGCCTTGTTCCACTTGTCTACACATCGGAGGACTGCGGCCGTCAGCGTCAGGATCACCATTCCCTGCATGCATCTATCACGTTGATAGATCTAGAAGGTATCACTGTACTACAATATGTTTCAAAATACAGTTGCAATCTTCAATGTATAATTGCATAAAATTTAGGTACGAAAAATATGTACGAATTGACCATGTAAAAAAGGACGATGCATTATATATATCTTCTCTATAACTAAATAGATCAAATAAAATAAATTACGAGTTAGTGAATTTAGTGATGACTTTTGGCAGATGATTTATAAAAAAAATATCGTTTATAGTGAACGAGACTCCTGTCAATATAGAATCCGAAGATAATAAATGATTTATAATAATTAAATACAAACTTGACTTGATCTTTTTCCAACTTATGATTATTGGCCAAATATATGGAAGTGATTTCAAATTGGTTAGTTTTTTTTCCTTTCTTTTTCTCATACATCAACTAGACGGAAGGTGAAGAATTTACTATCAAAGAGATGGTTTCATTCGGTGAAATAATATATATTTATACTGATTTTGAGGGAGAGATTTTCTTTAATCATATATTTAATTGATCATCAAATCATATATTGATTGAGGATTAAAACATATAAGAAATGGAAAGTTGTTATTTCATATTTGTTTATATTATGATCCTCTATCATGCCCTTCTGTAAGATTGAACTTCCATCAAGAATGTCAATTTTGAAACGATGTAATTGAAATATCCAATGAGTGAATGTCTTTAGGAGAGAATCAACTAATTTATTAGAAGTATGGATATGAGAAACTCGCAGTTGATGTTTGACAATTTGATCTTTGACAAAGTGGAAGTTGATGATAATATGTTTCATACGAGTATGAAACATCGAGTTAGAGCATAGGTAAGTGACATCGGCATTATCACAGTATATTATTGGAGTAGATTGGGAGGTGATACCAAGTTCATATAATAGATTGATGACGTAGTTGAGTTTTGTAGCGGTGGTGGTGATGGTCCGGCATTCAACTTTAGTGATGGATCTTACGATTGTGTTCTATTTTTTAGAACTCCAACTAATCAAGTTTGCTTTAAGGAAGAAATTAAGTTGATATAGATGAATAATCATTAGTATTACTTGTCCAATCGGTATTGACGAAAACATTGAGATGAAGGGATGAGTGTTTACGATGAATAAGTTCATGATTGAGAGTTCCTCTAAGATATCATATGATACATTTTAGTGCTAGCCAATATATAGCGGAGGGCTGATGCATGAATCGTGATAATTTGGTGATTGCAAATAAAATATCTAGATATGTAAGAGATAAATATTATAAGAAACCAAGTACTTATTAGTATTATATGAGATTCCTAGTAGGGTTATCATTATATAATCTGAGTGATCGAGTGGATGAGAGTGAGAAAGTAACTTCTTTAATATTTTACATATTTGTTTTTAGTAATAGATCTCGAATATACTTCCTTTGGGATAAAGAAAAGTCCTTAACATCGCTTCCACTTCTAGAAAATAACTTAAGGTTTATAAATTTTTGATGGAGAATTAATCTGTTAATTGTTTAAGGAGTTGATTAATCTCCATAGAATTATTGCATGTGATGATAATATCATTCGCATAAACTAGTAGATATATAATACATCTCTTTTATTGTCATAGAAATAAAGAGCTGTCGGATTTGAAGTTAACGAAGCTGACTAACAACAAAAATGAGTCAAAGTTCCATATATTAGGCTTTTGAAGCTTAGCAAGGTTTATAAATAATTTTTCATAGTTTATAAATATGATTTAAATATTAAAGGTAAATGAAGCTGGAGGATTCTTGCATAAAGTCAATTTCAATTAAAATATTATGAAAAAATCATTGTTAACATTTAGTTAACATACATATCAAGAGTAATAACCGTACTCATAATGAGTTGAATTACCGTTAGGTTAACCACTAGACCGAAGGTCTCAATAAAATTATTATCATTCATATTAATAGAGACCGGAAAGCGAATCTTGATCTGTTACTGATCGGTAACTCATTGCAGAATTTAGATATCACTTAGCACCTGTTCTTTGTTATAAGCGATTTTAAGAGGGCAGTCGAAAGGCACAAATAGTATTGTTCTCACTTTTCTGGACTGTGGACCATGCTATATTGATGGATCAAATCGCCTATAAAATTGTCAGGATGAGATGTGGGCCTTATTTACATAGGTCCCACCATTTAAGCTTACAAATCCTAGTGGATAGGATGCTCATCTTACTTGCATATATGATGGGTGCTTATTTTTATGTCATAATTTGAGCTGAAAACCAATTGAAGGCATGCTAGACTGACATCAATTAAGATTTACACAGCCTTATCTTTGATATACTGGATGCATCTGCAAGACCTAACTCAACATTGGTGGAGATCTTTCCGTCTTAGAAGCCAATATGGGGAAACTCGCACAGTGATTGGGCACAATTTGGTAGCAAGGTCTTTGGCAGCATTCCACGGCCACGATAGCACCAACATGGAACTTCAAAGCTGATGTGGTGGACCACGTCGGTGCAACACATCGGACTTAGACAACACAACCATCCTCCCGGGCTGTACAAGGCTGTGCAAGCGGCATCGTCGAGTACGGAGCTGTCTCGAAAGGTTCGGAACGACGTCGTCGGGTACAGAGCCGCCTTGGAATGCTCGGGACGGTGCCGCTCGACGTCGATCCGTGCAGGTCGATCAGCATCCGCACGAAAGGCATGGGCTGACCGCTTAAGGGGTCAGTGGTCATTAACAAACGAGGTACGATCGACCCCCCGTGTGTAGGTATGAAAACCGACCACCTGGCCAGCACTGGGGGGATTGAATACTCAACTTTCTGTTATTCCACTCCATCCTAACTTAAACTTCGGAGAGGTCGAGTCAAGAAATCCCCCTCCCGACCTCGAGCTAAGGGCAAGAACTCGACGACGAAAAAGCAGGCGACGAGGCCCATAGCTCAACGTGACCCGACGACCACTTCTTCCACCTAAGCTTTCGTATGGACAACCTTGCACATCCGGGATTGGACCGAGCAGCACTGACAGCTCGTCTATGGCGTAAAGGTTCATCAACACACAGCAATATAAATATGCCTATTTCTTGCAGCATGTAAGGTTTATCAAGCTACTCATCTGTTGAGTTTAAAATAGACATCAATGAGCACAAAAAGTTTCACAATGGAAATTATCTTATATTTGCAGATATAACATGTAGAGAGGGTGAACCATTGTTTGTGCATCCACTATGAATAGCATTCTGCCCTTTAAAAGTTTTGCAGCTTCAAATAGTAATAAAAAGAAAAAAGAGGAATCAACAGTACATAGGAAAAGGTATGACTAACAGAACTGTTACTTCTCTTCTGATGAAACCTGATTCCATGTCCTTGTTCTTTCTTCTTGTGCACTGTAAAGATCCAGTGTATCAGATGCTTGCTCATACAGAACTTCTGATTTCCATTGTTTGCAGAGCAATCTCATGGTCTTTGTCTGAGGTTTTGTATCTGTACCACTTTGCACATACAATGAAGAAGACAAAATTAACGGCAGATATTGATGCGATCGAGAAGTAGAGAAGATCTAGTCGTCCCTGGTTAAGATCTTCTGCTAACCAATTGCTCTTCTGATGTCCACCAGTTATTCGATGGACTATAGTTATTATCAAGCTACCCAGATAGTTGGAACATGCAAAACCCAGAAAGAGCAGACCCCCTGCCATGCTCCTCATGTTTTCGGGAAATTGCTTGTAGTAGAACTCAACTTGGCCGATGACGTTGAAAGCATCAGAAAGACCAGCAATAACGAGCTGAGGGATCAACCAGAGGCTGGACATTGATGAAATGGCACCACCACTGGATGTAGTCCCCAATGTCGGCTTGTGAAGCGCATAACTCCTTCGCCGTTCCTCTACCAGGCCAGCGACAGTCATCATCACGACCGAAAGCGCAATGCCAGTCCCCATCCTTTGAAGCAGCGTGATGCCACCTTCCTTTCCAGTAACCCTCTGAAGCAATGGGACGACGACACGGTCGTAAACAAACAACCAAACGGTCATGGCCGCCATGGTGAACACAGGAAAAGTTGCAGCAGGAATCTCAAAGTTACTGTGCCCGAGATGTCTATCGGATTGAAGGGCTTGGAAGACGACGTAAGTCCATGTCAGAACGAAGGTAACCTCGAAGATGATACATGAAGACCAAACAGGGATGATTCTTACTAAACATTTCATCTGTTCAACTTGCTGTAAGCTACATAATCTCCATCCATCTGAAGCTGAGCCATCCGGTTTGATATCGTCCATGGGGGTTATGATCGCAGCTTTGTCAAGAAAACTGCAATTGTAAGCAAAAAAGCAAAAAAAAAAATCACGTCTAGTAGTGATATTGAACATATCAAGTGAACTTTATTTTTCTTAGAATATAGTAAAATTAGTGATAGTTCTATTATAAATCTCACGAAGCAAATTGTAGTAGCTTTGGACTACAATTGTTTGGATGTTATCAACTTCGAAGAAAGTGTTACAAATGGATTGACGTTAATTAAATTGTTCCACTAATTTATTAGATCATCTTATGCCGTCAAAATATAGATTTGGTGTATGCTTCGGTGTTGAAATCCCATTTCATGTGCTCCCGAGTACCTGAACTGGTCGGTGTGTGGCAGCTTGGAGACCAGAGAACTGAGATGTGGAGGGTCACAAAGAGACCCCTTGAGGTCATCAGGTAGCTTCAGCGCTCGCTTCCTGAACGCCGCCACCAGCACCTGGGCGACGCTGGTGATCGGGCTGCCCTCCGGCCGCACCTTCACGTAGATCTTGGTCCCGACGAAGAAGAGCACGCAGGAGATGAACATGAACGCCGTGGGAATGGCCAGCCCCAGCGACCAGCTCACGTTGCTCTGCACGTAGATGACGAGGGTGGAGGAGGCCATCATGGCGAAGGTGAAGGTCATGTAGTACCAGTTGAAGAAGCTAGCGATGCCGCGCTTCCCCGCCTCGGTGGTGGGGTCGAACTGGTCGGCGCCGAACGCCAGGTTGCAGGGGCGTATGCCGCCGGCTCCGATGACCATGAAGACGTAGCTGGCGAAGAGTACGGCCAGCTGAGTTGGGTTCGCGCCGTGGCATGCGTCGCCATGACTGCTGCAGGGAGGAGGGTGAAG